CCCCCCCCCGCTACAAAGCAGAACAAAAAACATCCACGCGGACACATAGAAAAATAGGTGGACCGATGCAGAGAAGAAACATCTCACTTCGCCGTCCCTGCTGCTGCTGCTGCTGCTGTCTCCTTGCAGCCGCAGTAATGCATGTTCACCGTCACGCGGTCAGCGGAGAGGTGGCGGACGAATCGGTACGTCTCCCCCGCGGTGAACGTCACTGGCGTCGGCAGCGGGCCGTTGCTGGCGTCAAGCAACTGCAGCGCCTGGCCCCATTGCATGTCGCGCGGGAAGTTGTTGAGCGTGTCGGCGGGGTCCGTCGACATGGTGAGTCCCTCATCTGTCGCCAGCCAGTAGTACAGCATCGCGTGAGCCGTCCCGCTTTCCGTCGCAACCACGTCAACGTCGAGGTTGCGCGCGATGTCGCGCCGCTGCGTGGTCGCGAAGTCGACGGAGACGACCTCCACCGGCGCACTGAGGCGGCGGAAAGGCACGCTGCTCATGCGGAAGCCATACTGCTTCGCGAAGACGACACTGACGGTGTCCTGCAGCGCCGTCATGTTGGTGAGGTCCAGCCCCTTCCACCCAGACACGGCGCACACATCGCGCAGCGTGTCGCACTCGATCGGCACCGCGTACTGTGTGCCGTGCTGCGGGATTATTTTTGTCGTCGGCTTCAGCAGCCGCTCGCGCACGTCGACAATGTAGTCGAGCGCCGACTCCCCCAGCAGCAGCGTGCCGAAGATCTCCGACACCAGCACGTCCGGCTTCTCCGGCAGGTCCCGCAGCGTCAGCTCCGTGCTCAGCATGTGCAGCACAGTGACTTTGTGCTCCATCTTGTTCGCACGTATGTTGGCGCGCGCCAACTTCGCCATCTCCGGGCTGCCCTCAACCGCCACCACCCACTTCGCCCCGAGCTGCGCGGCCATGAGCGACAGCAGCCCGGAGCCCGCGCCGATCTCCAGCACCCCCGTCTCTGGCGTCACGTGGCGCCGCAGCAGCTCGTAGTAAAACTCGTTGCGTGGCCCGTCGTTCATCATGGCGAAGTGGAAGTCGTTCACCGCCTCCACGAGAGAGGTCGGCGTGTGTCGCAGGCGCGCGGGCACGGGGAAGTTTGTGTCGAAGTTCTGCACGAAGGCGTTGGACCGGTGCGCATTCTGTGCCATCGAGGACGAGGCACCCGGCGGAATGAAGCCAATGTCGCACGGCGCCGCATGGCCGTTGTTGTTGTTGGAATGCCTCGGCTG